AGAAGAGAAGAGATTGGATTTATACCCCACCCTTCACTACCAGAAGGAGTCTCAGAGCGGCTGACAATCTCCTTTCCCTTCTCTTTCCCACAACAGACACCCTGTGAGGTAGGTGGGGCTGAGAGAGCTCTGACAGGAACTGCCCTTGAGAGGACAGCTCTGAAAGAACTTATGACTGACCCAAGGTCACACCAGCAACCGCAAGTGGACGAGTGGGGAATCGAACCCGGTTCTCCCAGATCAGAGTCCACGCTCCTAACCACTACACCAAACCCAAGAAACAGGAAAAACTCTTCAGGAAGGATGGAGATACAATCAGTGTCACAGGCCTCTCTGGCTCAGGGGATGGCTACAACACTGGCTTCAGTAGCCTGTGGAAAGCCAGGTGGCTTAGGTCCCTCTCCCAGACCATGCTGAAGATCTCATTCACGTCCTCCACAACTCCTCGAGACCCCCAATAGAGGAAAAGTAGTGGGGCAGGCCTGGAAACAATGTAGTGATGAACACTTGCAATTCACTGCCACAGGAAGAGGTGGCGGCTACAAGCATGGACGGCTTCAAAAGGGAATTAGATAAGCATATGGAGCAGAGGTCCATCAGTGGCTATTAGCCACAAGGTATAGATAGGGGCTCTGGGGCAAGTGATGCTCTGTCATCGAGGGCTTATAGTGTCCTGGCCCCACTGCTGGACCTCCTGATGGCCCCTGGTATTTTTGGCCACTGTGTGACAGAGTGTTGGACTGGATGGGCCATTGGTCTGATCCAACATTGGCTTCTCTTATGTTCTTAAGAACTCTCGGTCCGGGACAAGGGATGCTCTGTCTTCTTGGTGCTTGGGGGTGGGGGGTGGGAGGGCTCCTAGTGTCCGGGCCCCACTGGTGGACCTCCTGATGGCACCTGGTATTTCTTGCCCATGTGACACAGAGTGTGCCACTGTGACACAGAGTGTTGGACTGAATGGGCCACTGGCCTGATCCAACGTTGGCGTCTCTTATGTTCTTATTCATGTTCAATATTTTGATTCATGCCTTATCCCTATGTCAGCAATCTGCACTTTTGGCACCTATGGAAGATCCTTACCCAGAGAGGCCACGGTCCCGTAGTTCTCCAGCATGACTTCCTTGTGGAGAGCTCTTTGGCCTGGATCCAGCAGGGCCCACTCGGCCTCAGTGAAGTCCACAGCCACCTCCCGAAAGGAAAATGGACACTGAAAGAGAAAGCAGATTCCCTCGTCAGAGATAGGGTTCCCAAGTACTTACCGTGATCCGGCGGGGGAAACATGCTCCCCGGCCGGACCATTCCTCCCTGTAACGCACCATGCCGTCGCCAGGAAGTGATGCCGGGCGACGCTCTGGCAATGGGACTGAAAACCCGATGGTACCATCGAGTTTCCAGCCCCGTTGCCAGAGCGTTGCCCGGCGTCACTTCCTGACAACGGCATGGTGTGGCGCATCTGTTGTCCATGCGGGAATGCTCCTGGGAAGACATATGTGTCCCCCGCCGAATCACGGTAAGTACTTGGTAAGCCTGCGCCCCAAGGTCCCTCTTTTCCTGCATTTTTTGGTGCAGCTGGGAAGTGTCGGC